GAGGAGACTTGAAGCAACAGAAATCTGGTTCTACAGAAGGATATTGAGGATACCATGAACTAGACATGTGAGCAATGATGAAATTTTAGAGAAAATGGAAACAAAAAGGAAACATACTTAGAATCAGGAAGAGACCGTTGAAGATTCTAGGAAGAAAGGCTTGGAAAATTTGATACTCACAAGACAAACTGAAGGCAAGAGAGACAAAGGAAAACAGTGCATGAAATACTTAGTGAGCTTGAATAGATGGATGTTGGAACAAGGTCTAGGAGAAATAACAGAAAGACAAAATTTATTAAGCGCTACAAGGGACAGGAAGCTGTGGAGAGCCATGATCGCCTACGTCCTGAGGGGGGGACACAGCATATTAAGATGTTCATGGGTAAAAGTACTCAATATCAGAGATTATGTATGTAAATATAAAAATAGACACAGGTCAGCACCAAGAGGTGACAGTGTTTTATGCTTGAGTGCAATCTTCAGGCCTTGTGTGTGGGCTCAACTATTTATATATGCTGGTTAGTGGTGTATTATGGATTTCAAGGTCAGGTATTTCTGGTTAATTGTATTATCCTAATGGTCTTTGGGTAGGTAGTAATGTTTATATTTCAAATTATTCTAAATGCTTTGAAGTACAAATAATTGTGGATCCAAATGCTGTTATCGCTATCTATAAAAGGCAGGATATGTGTGTGTGTGTGTGTGTGTGTGTAACGAATGCATGGCCGGATTTTTCGATGGATTTGCACTAAAATTTACATGCACATGCTCTAAGTTAGTGGGAAGGCCAAGACCGACTTTGCATTTCCCAACTCCCATTGATAGTGGAAATAATCAATTTTTTATGCTTCTACAGCAGTTTTCATGTAGTTTGAGGCCATTTTGTACTGGCCAGAGTGAGAGCCTATAGCTGGCTGCTACAAATAGGCAGGAAGATTCTATTGGCCAGCGTGAGAGCCAACAGCTGACTGACATGAATGTTAACTAAATCGATAGCTGCATTCGTCACAAGTGGGGAAAATTTAAATCTGTATGGCACTTTACTCCAATTGGCTCATTCGCTTGTTTAAACTCAATGTTGATTCTGATTACGCAGAACTGGGTTGGGTGTGAAAAAGTATTTGTTGCTAACATTCTTTTTTCATTCGGTTTTTCCAGTTACGAGTTCTTTTTTAAAGCTGTTCATTTTGTGTTCATTTTGTTTAGTTCTTTTTTCGTAACAGATTTAATGTTTAGTATAGAGCTTAGAAAAAATTTGCAGTGTGCGATAGGCAAGAAGTAAGGCATGTAGCAACATCAGCACGGCAAAGGGCACTCCTTTTAAGGCAAGAAAGGGCAAAAATATTTTAAGTCAAGTGATAGCAATTGCTGTACGAGTCATACGATTTTTGAATCAAGCACGGGCAACGCCGGGCCATGCTGCTAGTTTATAGCTATTATATAGGATTCTTTGTTAACCTTTAACTCTTTATTTATTACTTTGTGCATTTGTATTTATTCATTAATTATTCATTGTTGATTATGATTATTACATTATGATTATTACATTATGATTATTACATTATGATTATTACATTATGATTATTACATTATGATTATTACATTATGATTATTACATTATGAGTGGAACAGTGTACTGCATTCAGCACTGCAATTAAATATATTTGTATCATATAAGTGCCATTAGTTCAATAGCACCAGAAACTATAAAGTATTTAATATGCATTTTGATATATATTTATATAAACAAACACCCAGTATGCAAACAGACATACAGTAATGAAAAACAAACTGTGCACAAAACATATTGTATTGATTATACAAACCTATCAATAAACATATCAATCCCTCAAATGTTCAAACTGTTTGACCTCATCATTCATACACTCCTTTTTACCTGCAAAAACAATATTTACTGCTAATGTTGATTGTTTTTTTGCCATTTCCATTTTTTTCTTGATTTACAAAACCTATCTCCAATCCCTCAAATGTTCAAACTGTTTTGACCTCATCATTTATACTCTTTTTACCTGCAAAAACTATTTAAGTTTTGTTTTTTTTTGTGGTTTAAAAATCATTTTGTACTTCTATATAAAGGAGCTTATTTAAAAAGCTAGCATCAAGCTAATAATTGGAAAAAGTGTTTCTATCATCACAAAATGACTCTTAGCAACAAAAAATATGCGCCACAGTTTTACTGGAGTATGAAAACATACGCCTACACCTAAATTGGGAATTCGTAGCCCACATCAAACCATTTTCTGGTCAGGGCGGTGTGTGTGATGCAATCTATGTCTGTTAGATTGTTAATATTTTTGTGGATGAATTTTTTTTTTTTTTCTAAGTCTACTTAATAGGTGCAACAAACTCATGATCACCTGTGGGCGCAGAAAATCATTTCTCTTAAAATACTGGAAGCCAGATTAAATTCCGCTTTTTTATTACATTTTTCTTTTATTAAGGTTTAGGTTTCATACTCGCTTATCTCCCTTTAAACTGGCAAGCGCTAATATATCAGACCCAGAGCAGCATCTCCAGTAACAATTTTAAATTTCTATTCTTTCCTTTATTTAACCATTTTTCTTTTACTTTTTTCTTCTTTTTTAAAATGAACCCTACCTACTTGTACTATTTTATTTTTGGACTATGAAGCACCATTCCTCCCATGTGACTTTGGTGCATTTTTATAAAAGCATAAAATACTTTGTGTCTGATGAACTGGAAAACCAACAAAACTTAAGTCACTCACCAAAATGTAGGTATATATATATATATATATATATATATATATATATATATATATATATATATAAAAAATAATTATATATAGCATGCTGGAACTAAAAACACAGTACTCAATGTAAAAGGAGAGAGCGTGTGTGTATATACCCACTGATGGAGGTGGGTCTGTCTACAATACACTGGAATGGATGATGCTGAAGGTAACATCAATCAGCTGTGACAAACCTTTTATGTGTATTAATTTTATTAATGCTCTATCTCTGATATTAAGTAATTTATTGCAAAGACTGCGTGCCTTAAATGTGTTTTCTCTCAGTATCCCACTGACTGACAGCATTTTTGGTTTCATACTATCTTTGAGATATATATATATATATATATATAAATAAATAATTGTTTTTCTTTACTGCATGATGCTTCTCAAAGTTTCATCTATGAAGCAATTGTCAGACAGAAACAATTGATAGCATCATGTGGCAAAGAATTATATATTATAATTTTATCATATAGACAAAAACAATTTACTTACTACAAAGATGCAACTTTGTTTCAGTGCATTTCAATTGCACCTCGTAAGAACCAAAAATCAGTATCAAGCCCTGTTTTGAATTAATGCTGTGAATGTTAGAATTTATATATTACTTTCATTCTCATTGCATTGGATATATATATATATATATATATATATATATATATACTAGAATTGTTTTGCAACATGCTAACATGTAGTGAAATCCTAACAATATTTGGTATTGTTGAAGTTATTGCTAACATTTTTTGTTGAGATTTATAAACTATGGTTCATTCAATTACACAAACCAATTGATGAAATTTTAATAAGCCGTTTTGTTTGGAAAAATACTTTGGCAAAAACCCTATTTGTTTATAGATATTGCAATTTCAGAGCAAACTGGAAACTGGATTCTTGTATACAAAAATTTAAAGAAAAGATGATTTACAAAAAAAAAAAAAGTATGTTATTTTAATCATTAAATTGTTTTTAAAATAGTGG